CAAAATCATTTATTCCAATTAGACCCTTACAGGCACTTTTGAACGTCAAACAAAGCTTAAAGATAAAAAGTGTCAGTCTGTCGGCCAGTCTTCTTAGCGAAACTATTTGCTCGTTCCAAAGTGTAGATTCCAATGGAGAAGAACGACCGAGAAACTCCATGTTTACTCTTTTTCAATCAGTTTCACAAATAGATTCTTCTTTCATACATACTTATTTATACATAATTCTATATTATGTTTACATTGTAAATGAGACTGTTCTAAAATATGAGAATGAATTTGAATTTAACGATCAAATAGTTTGTGTGGCAATGTTAATTAACCTGTTGCAACAATATTTGCGAATTTATTACATTCGTATTAAAATCTAAAATATTAAAGCACACTGTACTTTTAGCGTATAACAAATTAATTACGACGAAATGCTGCAGAAAATAAATATTGAAAGGAAAATTAATTATGGATGTGCCACCGAAATTTATACAATGTTGCTACTAAATGTTAATTATGATATTCTTTACTTTCATAGTGCTTTTTATACTGGTGTTGTTATTACAAAATGACGATTAAATTATTGGCGCCCAACGTGGGACTTAAAATTTATTTGGTTGTGTAATTATAAAATTCGATTACGGAATTTGTATTGATGCGGTAAATAAAATTATTTAAATATGGAAGATTCTCATTATAATTTGATTTATTCATATTTTTTTCTCAGTTCTTGAATTCATTTTATGTTTATTAATCATTTTATTTATATACAAACAACCTAAAGAAAATAAACTTTATGCCTAAGTGGCATAAAGTTTAATTCGAAATTTTAATTGAATGCAATTCGAATAAAAAACTTCACAATCACCCATAATAAAATCAAAATCAAAAAGTTCATAATACTTAAATTTCTCCAAGAAAATCTTCAGGTACAGTTGAGTTGTGGAATCTCATTTCGAAGTGAGTGAATATGATTGGCGAATATCTCACGGATAGTTGCCGATGTTTGGAAGCTCCTGAGGGAGGGAGGGGGGAGGTTTTAATTGCTTTTTCAATTAACGCCGACGGAAGGTCTCTTGGGATCCTATTCGTGAAGGCGTAATGGACTATCCAAAGAACAAATGCGCAGATAGGTCAGTGTATGACTAATATTTTCAATATACTGGTACATTTTGAAGTTCGTCAGTTTGTTTTTTGCAGCGAATGAAACATATGTTTTTCACTCTTTTCCTTGCTATAAATTTTCATGGTGAGTATAAATTTACTTAATAAAGAAAAACTACATATTTAATATTTTTTTATGTAAGGATATTGAAAACCAAGAAATAAAAAACATAATATATATTGCAGCAGCCCAAATGTACCTACTTCAAGTGAATTAAAAATAAAATCATCGTAAAAAGTACTTTAAAACTTAACATTAAAATTCACTTTAAATTTCAAGACGGGGCAAATATCATTTTATCTTTTACTAGCTATTCTCGCGCGGTTTCACCCGCTGCTCCATTTCGTCGAGCAGTTATGTCGACGCTTATATATGCTATATGCTATAAAACATAATCGTGACGTTATGTTTTATAGCATATAGCATTCAGGAACAATGTAGCTATCTATTAGTGAAAGAATTTTGGCAATCCGACCAGCGGTTCCAAAAATTAGGGTAGAACCGGGTAATACCGGTCAGGAGGTATTACCGGTCAATCTAAAATCTCAAAAACTACTGCGTTCCGACGCAAGTACACATACACAGCGAGTGGCGTGATGTCGCCGAGCGACAACGCCCTGGTCCCGCTTAATTCCGCAGCCGACTTCTTGGGTGAATTCAAGTCGTTTGTTTTCGCGCCTAGTTGATGTAAATTTTCGGGATAAAACGATAACAGGTGAGTGTTTATAATTTCACGTTTCTTACATTCTTACCCAGGATCGTTGCACCATAATTACTTAGCATTCAGAGTGATAATCGTTTTTTAACTTATTTGGTCAGGTTTAATATCTAGAAGTTTTTTTATGAAGATGTTGCGAGTCGGGCAATGCCGGTCATTCTGACCGGTATTAACCACAAATAAAATTGGTAAACACGGGTATAATTTATTTTACTATTAATGTTTTTTTTATTATTTTAGGATGGCTAAAAGAAGAAGCCAATCCAATTCAAAGGCGCCGTGGAGCCAAGAGCAACTAAACAGGGACAAATAATGAAACAACTACATTATGACAACCCCGTTCCTTCTATTTCCAGCATTGGTTAACCTGTCACTGTTAAGGATCTTTTGCCACTACGAAATAAGTCGAGGGACAAGAAAAAAACATACGATCTCGCAAACAGTATTAACAGAAACTCCTAACAAAGAAGCTTTAGTCAAGAAAGAAAACAGAAAAATTACAAAGGAGAAGAAAAAGCCAATTCTTAAAATTAAAACCGAAAAAACGACTGATAAAAGCAAAGGAAAATCAATGGAAGTGAAAAAAAGCTAAAAAGATAGTGCTAAAGTGCTCCAAGATATAAACAAATGAAATGAGAGGACGTCGGACTCAGAAGTAGAAATGACAGACCTGCATAAAGACGAAGACACCGATGCTGACGAAGATTATGAAAACAAATGTTTAATTTGCGATGATTATGGACGTAATAACGAGCTCTGGTATAGATGGGTGCGCTGTGTGGTGTCTGGGCACACTCTGAGTGCTCTGGTTATGACTCTCCTGAGGGTTACATTTGCGACTCATGCCTGAACAAAGCTTGACCGGCATTAGCAACCTACTGACTGGTTTTACCTGCCGATGTGTCTAATACCAGTCAAACTCGATTTTTTTTTAAATGCTTATTGTGCTAAATTTGTTTAAATCATTGATCTAAATTAATGTGATTTTGATAGAAGAATACCTATAGTTTGATTGTTAAAAGGTTTAATAAAGAAATGTTTATAATTATTTGATTTGTGATCATTTTGCCTTAAGTGACCGGTAATACCCATTCTTACCCTACCCCTACATACAAACTTACAAACATACAAATTTTACCTCTTTTTAATATTAGTATAGATTTACCATTTACATCTACATTTTTTATTGTTCACCAATTTCTGGCTACATGCGTATCTGTGCGTTGTATATTCAACATAAAGTCCTGCACTGCCGACACTCAGACGCCCATAATTCCATTTGTGAGTGAAACGCGACGGACACTCTCGATCCTTACTGTTAACACTGTACGGATTGTGAAACAACTCCTTTTTTTATTGTGAAATCTTCGACCTAGTTCTTTGGCAGTCAGTGTCAGAATCTACAAGTTAGAATGAGCACCTAGCTTCACTGAGGAACAGAATGACAGACTACTATTCTATTTTGAGGTTTCAAACGTACCTATTTATGGTTTAGTTGGAATAAATGATTTTGAATTTGACTTTGACTTTGTTTCCTCACATCTTCAGCCTTTAAATGCCCACTACTGAGCAAAGGCCTCTTCTTACACGCAACTTTGAGCATTAATAACCACGCTTTGACAGGGCGAATTCGCAATTTCAAACTTAGGTATAATTAGAAATTATAAGTCCAGGTTTCCTCACGATGTTTTCTTTCACCGAATGTCAGTATTTAAATGATCATAGAAAGTACGTACAACAAAAACAAAAAAGGTTTCGAAACCGCAACCTAATGCATGAGAAGCGGGCACCTTAACCTCCGGGCCACCACGACACGTTTTGTTTCCTATCTCCCCACATTTAGGCAGGATTGTAAATAGTTTTTTGTTCTATTGGCCTTCATCCTAGTTGGTTTTAATGAGAATGCAACATTTTAACACTTGTAAGTATTCTAACCAATAATGTCTTTTCCATCATCATCACTTTCAACACTCTGTAAACAGTATACTGTAAAGAAAGGAGTTTCCATAATCTTCAGCAGCAATTGGGAAATCACGATTTAGCCGCAGAGAGTTTGATAACATCGGTCAGTACAACTACAGTCGGATGAAACTCTTAGATTCTTCTAATATCGATGTCATACTCTAACTTCGAAGAACTCAACACAAAAAGAAACCACAAACAGTTAGTGGTGCTTGTTATTTAAACTCAAATCTTATGGTAAAAGATGAACAGATCGAATTATTCTAATCTATACTAATGTCATAAAACGGTAAAATTTTATGTAGGCGGTTTTCTGAGGAAAAGCTGGTCGGATTTTCAAAGAAAAATTCAGTAATAAATAGCTACAATGTTCCTGTGTGCAATTATGTATACTTGAAGGGCGCGTTTTAGTCGAGCTATTGCTTAAAACGTTCTGTTTTAAAAATCCCAGAATAAGTAATTAATTACATTACTTTTACACGCCGCGAGCAGACTCCAATTATTATTATTTTTCTATGTACACTCTCTTATAGAACTTCCAATATTATCTTCGCACACCAGAAGTACATACATAGTATAGTTCGTGTCAAATTTGCACCAAGTGACTAAGTTTCATCTAATATCCTCAAAACTTTAATAGCTCCCGCGGTTGTAACTTGCTTGCAATTTTCAAGTGCAATTAACGATGACTCTGAGGTGATTAGTTATGACTTTGAAGTTCAATTAGCTATTGATTTGTATAGGAATTAGTTTGGTGGAGACTTTAGAGAGAGATTATGTGGGCTTACAAGTTGACTTACTGTTTGATAGAGCGTTGTGTGCGAGTATTTTATGGTTTTACCTTGATTGGGTCAGAGATAGTTTCTTGTTTGTCGAAATAACTTAGAGCTGATTTTTCAATGGCCAGATAAAAGTTATCTGGGAAATAATTATGATGCTGTCGCGACAGAATGTTTGTATAAGACAGTGACAGCAACAATTTTATTCCTCAGATAACATTTATCATCTGACCTTAGTGGGTAAGTGGACCCTAACCAAAACTAAACATAATAATAAAAACAAAACGTCTTTAAGTAGTGAATGCTTTATTAATGTGCAAAGCCAATTCTAGAAGAGGTAATTTTGGAATAGAGACTACAACTTCGTCTAGTTAAGACGTCAGGTTTAGCCGTAGTGTTTGCCATAACCGGCGCCCCAACCACCCCATCCACCGTGGCCGCCCCAGCCGCCGAGTCCGTAGCCGCCCCAACCTCCGAGTCCGTATCCGCCCCAACCTCCGAGTCCGTAGCCGCCCCAACCTCCCCAGCCTCCGTATCCGTAGTTGATGGGAGCTGCGACGCTAACAGTGCGAAGAACGGGAGCGGTGACAATGGGAGCAACGGCGGCGGTCCTGATGACGGGGATGGGAGCAGCCTTCACAAGGTTCGCGGTGGATACCGCTGCGGGAGCGATGATCGGTGCGCCATATCCATATCCCAGACCTGAAAATTAGTTAAATAAATTATGGAAGTGAATATATGAGAAATTAACTAGTGATTGTCACTTGTTAAATTAACAATGATTGTTGTAAAAAAATGTAAATTGATTTTGTATTATGGAATAATATTTTTTTCTAAAATAATCTTAAGAATCTAGTATTTGAATATAATATTGTTCTTAGGGTCTATTTTGTCTGTACGAAAACGCTACGCTTTTACTCACCATATCCGCCAATGGCACTACCATGGGCGACGGCCAGGAGACAAGCCAACTGCAAATAATTAAAACATTACTTCAACAATGCCAAAATAAAACGTGTAACATTTAAAATTAAGTAGTACGTTTTTTTTATTACAGAACTGTAACATTATGTATGGGTTACACAAGTCTCGGTCAGTGGTTTAACTGTTTTCCACAAACATTACAAAACAAAATCAATATTGGAAGGAAAACGAAGTAAAATATCACTATAATAATCTTCAAAATTATAATTAACGATTAGACTATAATCCTTCAACATAAACAGATATTCATTTTGATATTAATTGGATAAAACACATCATAAACTGCTTATACACGATTAATATTCAAATAAAATCAAACTGAAACAAACTAAATTTTATCAAACAAATACGTGACCAATATTAGTTAATAAAACTTTTTGGGATACAAATTCTACGTAATCTCGATTCCAATCTTCCACGTTTCACTGTTATGAGTCGCAGTCTTGACCGAACAAATGTCGGGAAAAATAATCCAACCAACGAAAAACAATAATAAATCATAGATAAGACAGTTTGCGTGACAAATATAAGCAAATAACTTACAGCTATGAGGGTGTTCATCGTGGGTGGTTACCTCAGACGAAGTGTTGCCTTTGATTCAGCGAACCACCGTTTTATACCAACGTTCAAGTATCCGCTACAGCTGAAACGCGACCGGATACAGCCTGCCTATGCACGCACTCAATGCATTTCGTCACATATTAGCATTAGGCATCCTTGCCTTATTGAGTACGGTGAATATATTATCCTTTATCCTTACCTACTTTACTTTTATTCATTTGGCCTACGGATGCTCCTTCCTACAGATTGGTTCGCGAATTTCGTTACGAAGTGAGAATAAATTATTGGAGGTTGATTTAGGTGCTCGGATCTATTGAGTCGTCAACTAAGAAGAGTAATACGGAGATTATCATTTGACTTTTATTGATTAGGGTAGCTGTGGTGTCAATGGATTGGCTGGTATCGATCTTTTAAAAAATCTTGTTAATATTCAGATTAGACAGTGGTTTTTCAATTCAACCTTTTAAAGTGTTTTTAAAAGTTACGATTAAATGAGTGTTTATGTCGGTACAAAGCCTTTTTCAGTGAAGACAATACATACAGTTTTCAATAGGGTACCATAAGATAAGAAGAATTTAGATCTATTTAAATAATTGAGTAATTAAAAAACTGGCTAAGCAATAGAATTAGAAAATCAATTTACATTGCACAAATGTGGCTTTTAAACCATTTTCTTTCTATTTCTAGCAAACAGCCAATACAAACAGTAGCCAGCCCACACCGAGGTACCAGGGCGGCATGTATCGCAAGGAGTTACTTACACAAGCCTGCACTAAATAAACATGGAGCCTCTTAACAAATACCTGTAGGCAGTACTAATATTTGTTCTCGAGTGGGAATCGAAGTACTTCGCACGAAGACGATCGCTCCATCACTTTGACATTTAGATAGTTAACCTGAGGGGCTTTCGTACCAAACTGTTATATAGACCCTTTGTGGATTTTCTTTAGTTGTGCTTGATTTGTTAAGGGGTGGGTAAAGAAAAGTGAGTATTGTGTTGTAAATCGATTCGACGGCAATGTTGTGTAGTATTTTCATGTATCTGATGACCCTATTTTCGCTCACTATAAACGGCATCCCTACCATATTTGGATATTCTGAAATTTATATTTATACATATAGCATACTGTAAATTTCACATAATTACAAAACCTCTACAGCACAACTCCAGACTCAACTAAGAATAACTAGCTTCCACCTGCATTACCAAGGAAAATACTCCATTATTTTGATATTCCAGGCAACAATATATTTGGGTGCTAAATTCCATTCAGAACCGTTTAGTATTTTTTAAAAAGAAAGAGTAACAAACCTTCATCCTTTTGCGTATTGTTGTTTTAAAAACAAACGCTAACAATTCAGCTCTTAATAGCGCTTAACAGCATCATTCACCAATGCGATTGCAGTACAGACATGGCAACAAAATTCAAACGAAGAAATAGTTCTCACATTGTCAGTAATAATCAGCATAAAATAGTTGCTTTAATTACAGTTTCATGTCGTATATAGTAATAGCAGTCTGGCAGATCGCCAATGTTCCTTGCATTGGAACTGGTCGGACGCCCCCTAACGAGTTTCCACATTAAATAATTTCACTTCACAGTAACTTGGGCGGTTACTGCATTATCTCATGAAACTATATCTGTCGGCAACTTGGGAATTAAATCTTAGAAAATGGAGGAAGTGCTTGTTTTAGGAAGACCTTTGTGTAAAAGTTTTTATTTGCAATGGTTATTATTGCGATAATGTGGCCTACGATGTAGCAAGCCCATCCAAAAAACTATCAAAATGCTTTTTCGAACGGCAAACCTCCTTTGTGGAGAAAGTTCATAGACCAGCAATAAACCTCCAAGGTCAATGGGTCTTGGTAATACTCATGACATTGAAGAGTAGAAAAGTATCATGATAGTGTTTGAATAGGTAAGTAGGCTCCGACTTAAACCCAGTCCTTTTCCTCAATCAATGTCCACATCTCAGGAACACGCATAGTTACCCCCTTTTTTGTTAGGGCAAAATCATCATATGTTTTCACTCCCGCAAGGTGAGGTAAACGTCGTACACTAACTGACTAAAAACCCGCATCCTTCTCCTTCTCCAGGCCGAGGCCACCGTACCTTATTGCCTTATTGCACTAGCCCTGCAACCCTGACTGAACATCGGCCCTGTAGTACGCTATTCGAGATAACATTGCTCGTCGTCCGCAGTCCCGCGACTCTCAGTGTTAAGTTTTAAATAATGAGTTGGTGGTTAATAATGAAGATGATTTGTTTATGTTGCAGGATGGCAAACGGATTACCTGATGGTAAGCAATCAGCGCCTCCCATGGACACCCACTTTTGGCACATTGTATGGCACGCATGGCACTCGTAACTCCACCGTTGTTGTTGGAGTTACGAGTGCGTTGCCGACTTTTTGGGGATTAAGAATTTAGAGATTTTGGGATTGGGAAGGGATTGGAGGAAGGTAATGATTGGTTCTCCAGTAGCCTACTGGTGGTTGTTTCACGCCGGTGTTATAATGTGAGACCGTGGTACCACTTCGGTCGAGCTGACCCATTTGACTCGAATGACTTTCCCACACACGATGATGTAACGATAACAATTTAGAAACTGCAAATCAATTGTGTTAACAAATCTGATACGACTTTAATACAAATCCTTTTCCTCAATCCTGAAGATTGGTATTAGTAAATCAATATAATTAACGTATTATGAAACATTGTTATAAAGACTTTTTGTGCAAATGAATTATACAATTAAATAGATTATTGATTATTGATTTTAATGATAGGATACAATGTTTTTAATGATTATGTAGATTGGAAGCTATTATGTTCACACCTCTTTAATTAATTTTACTTAAAGGAGAATTTATTTATGCGTTTTAATTGCAATTATCTAACACTTGGCTCCTGCAATTTGAGGAAGAAGAGAAGAGCACCTCTTTAGAAAAATGCTTTTCCATTCTAAACCTTAAATATCCATAACCATTATCCCCAAAAGGCCACCAGGGCACTCGTAACTCTTTTGGTGGTTCGGGTGTCCATGAACGGCGCCGCCCTATTTCATAAGAAAAAAATATTTTCGAAATGCCTTTTGTAAAACTGGAAAAAAAATATTATTGAGTTCTCCCAAATTAACCGGACTCCTTTATGTATGTCACAACATGTATTTTACAATTCACTCATTCTCAATTTAAATAAAATCATCAAATATTACGCGTGTGCATTTGGCGCTGCATTTCAAAAGAACCTATACCTTTAAAAACTAACCTGAATGTAATAAAAACGATACCAGCTATTTACTTACCAATAAATTTATCGAAACAATGAATCATTAGACATTAGACATCGATAAACTAAAATACAGCAATTGATTGCAATGCATACGTCTATTCTAGCTCAAACGGACAGACACTGAGTAACCTGCATTCGAAATTACACCTAAAACCAAAGACACAGAGTCAATAATTACATAGTTGGAAAACACGAGTGTAAGTCAACGAAGCGTGAAAGTTATTCCGATCTTCATGAAATATTTTGTGTGCCAGCGAACTGGGGTATAATTAGATAATTACAGTAGGTAGGTACAATTAATTTTTCATATTGCTGTTTAAATACGCACATTTACATACGATATTTTTTTGTTTATAACCTCGGTGGTAATCTAGGTGCTTTACGTTATGTAAGGTAGAATCCATTGAGTTTCTGTTGATAGACTTTTAAGAAGTTCCTGGCCTTTTTTAGGAGTACCTAGGGATGTGGTGCAACAAACGTTACACCATTAATGTTCCTTTTTATAAGGGGAAAATTGCCAAGGATGAGGCGAAAGGAGGTGTCAGGCTTTTACTGCCTAAACCCCGGCTGAACATTGACCCTGATGGGCTCCATATGAGGTAATCATTTGACCATCAGTGCTCTGGGGTAGGTCTATAAGACGACCTGGTGCCTCTTATTGGTGATGGTGGTGGCCACCAGAGTGATTTTAGCGAGGTCAAAAACCATATTCTCTAGTGTTTTTCTGTAAAAAGTAAACTACCCAGATTCTAATATATAATGTAAGAATATGATATCCTATTACTAACCTAGAAGCCTCGAAAAATAAATTGAAAGTATCTAAATAGAACTCCAGTATTTTCAGGTTATACATAACTGTTGAAAACAAATGAAAATAAATTGCACAGCTCCTGTGATAAATTGCAACTATCAAACAATAATATTTAACCATCCATGTTCCACTAACTAGATTAACATAACATTGGCATTAAAATATCCGGATATATCCAGCGGTAACCGGTCATAACCATACGTAACCGGATTCCGCTGGAATTTTAAATTCCATTCGTTTTGTTTATGCAAGCTGTCAGTGAAACATTTTATGTAGAATAGGTAACGTTTTATAGTATTTTGGTGAACCTAAAGTTTGAATTCTTGAATGTTGTTGTACCTACAAAACTGTATTTGACTTCAAATAAACAGTAGTTATCAAATCACAATTTCTGGGATAACATTAAAATTCAATTAGTTACTGGAATACAATATTTAAATTCAGTTCTCTGTTCCGAATTCGCAATCATGTTGACTAATTATTATAATAAAATGGCAAATTACTAAACAACAAATTTAACAAACTAATTAGTAGATGGACAATACCAAATGACATAATTGTGTTTGATTGCATTAATTAGTTGTGCTGTCGAAATACGTTGTTATTTCACTACTATTGTCCCTGAAAACTAAATATCGATGATTTCAAGTCCAACTGAATGGTTTTTAGATGAATAGGTACCATTTACTATTTAAAATACCTTTAATGTAGATGGTAACTATCAAAACTGTAACTCAAATAAAGATAGAATACGATCAGTAATAAATCCAGTGAATTCTGGTTTTAACCGCTTCGATCCAGTCAGATCCGGTTTCCTTAAAACGTTTACTCTTTTGCGAAAACTATCCAGCTGTCTTTTGTTTTCAAAAATGATTCTAGTACTGTTTGTTTGTT